CGCTACCGCTTGAGCCACATCCCCAGCCCTTAACAATAATTTTTAAAATTCTGCTTTTGTAAACCATGATGAAGCATTTTAAAATGATATGTGATTCCCACTGATATAATTCCCCTCCTTCAAGTTCAGAAACATTCCATCCATTTACATTTCATGGCAGTATAATTGTTTGCTTAGGTTCAGTAAAAATCTGTCTTCTTTTGTGCCAGGATATAAGTGGAAGAATCAATTATGCAATCAAGGCCTTGCCTGGAATGTCTTATTTGAGACTGATGTTCACTTAACTAATGTGACAAGCCATTTTAAGGAACAAAGTTTAGATGTACTTATGAGATCAATGTCTACAAAGTCCTCCCTAGAAAATTGATCCTGGGGCCAATTTATAGGCTTATGGCTTCCAGGCAAGTTCTTGGGGTAATGATTTTTAACCTGGTACTGAGATTAAATTCAGGGCCTCACACATGCAAGGTATGTACTCTACCACTGAGCTACATCCCAGTCACCTTGGGGTAACTTTTTAAGCCTCAAGAAGAAAATAATTCACCCAATGAACAGGTGGAGTTTCTTGGGCTTGGTTTCTTAGTCTCAGTAAATAGCAAGTGATAAATGCTTTTAAAAGTCCAGTCTAGGATTCCTTATGGTAACTTCTGGACAGAAGCTAATTTGGAATTGTTTGAGTACATATAGTTCTAGATTTTACAAAACAAACTGAAAGAGGCCTCCATGGTAAATAATACTCTCATGAATTTATGAAAGTAATCAGCCAAATCTAAAGAGACTAGCCTTTTTTTAAAAAAATCAAGAATAACCTTTCTTTGAAATGATATATAATCAATCACAATGAAAAATGAAACTGGTCAGGAAAAACTGTCATACTTTGAAGTGGGCAAATGAGATTACTGAGTGTCCTTTCAATAGAATGCTGAGCCCTGTCCAGTGAATCCCCAGGGGATTATCTGATTTTATAGGATGTGTGTCTCTGATTGTCTTTGACTAGGCTATTTTATAATTCTGTAAAGGTAGAAAACTGATAACATGTAGAAAACTGATACTGATGAATATCTTTCCTGTCTAGAGCTATACAAATTATTGTTTTTGTCTGGCAGAAAATATAAATCTCTGTAAATCAAATTCTCATTTGAACTACTTGTAGCATCTTATTGGTCCCCTCACTAATTGAGTTAAATAAATCTTTGATGTCTATTCATATGTTAATCGTCTTTTCATCATTGTTACAAAATACCTGAGATGAACAACTTAAAAGGAAGAAAGGTTTATTTTGGCTCATGGTTTTAGAGGTTATGGTTGACTGATTTCATTGCTAAGGGCCCACAGTGAGGCAGAGAATGATAGAAAAGAGAGCATGGTGGAGCTGAGTGCTATCTCATAGTAGCCTGGAAACAGGGCAGAGGGAGGTGGTAAGAGGCCAGGCACAAGTTATAATCCAGAAGGCACACAGCCACGGAAATACTCCCTTCAACTAGGTCCCTCCTCCCGTAGTTTCTACCACCTCCCAGCAGTCCATTCAAATTATGAAGCCATTAATGATTAATCCACAAATAAGGTTAGAACCCTCGTGAGTGAACTAATCATTTCCTAAAGTCTCCCCTCTGAACCTTTCTGCATTGGACCAAGCCTTCAACACATGAGCTTTCAGGGGGCATTCCAGAGTCAAACCATATCAGTGCCTTTTGTAGGTCTATGAGAGTCTTGTTTATATCCTGGTGTATAAATCATCCTTCAACAGCACTGCTGATACATAGATGTTGAAAATAATCCAACATGTAGAAATAAAGGCAGAGCATGTGTTGTCTCCAGACTCTGTGTGGCTCAGCATGATTAGATACTTCTTTGCCGTGATTTGCTGATCTGGAGAACCAAGTGGCAAAGAGGAGATATTCTGGGGCTAAGCACATTGAAAAGTCCAGGACAATAAGGCCTTAAGTTGGGGGGTAGGGGACATGAATGAACCTTTGATACCAGATTGGAAAATGCCTTTCTTTCTTGTATAGAGGATCTGGACTATCTCCAGGGGCCAGAAACCTGGGCATGACTAAAAGGAGCAAATTCAGAAAACCTCAAACATGCATTTCCTGCCCTCTCTTAGCTTAGCAGAGCTGGCTCAGCAGGTCTGAGTTAGGCCAATGGGAGGACAGGCTAATAAAGCCTTTGCAACAAGGCTGCTTCCTCCACCAGGAAGCTCCCAGGCAGAGGCTTGAGGGGAAGGGAGGTTTTAGAGCCCTTTCTGCTTTTGGCTTCAACTGGCCATGTCCAGCCCAAGCCCCCCTCTCACTGTGACCCCGAAAGCTCAGAAAGCCATGTGCACTTGCTACTTCCCCTCTTGCAAGTGCTTTAATAAACTTCATTTCCCATTTAAACCATATGACTCCACTGCAGAGAATATCTGTTCTCTCTTTTTAGAACAAATAGGAGTTGAAAAAGGAAGTGCAGCCTCAGAGAAGCAGGATGGGCCGACACCATAGCTTTTAAGGATTCAGACTGACCTATTGAAGTGTAACATTTTCAGACCAATTTTCCCCCCTGTACCAGGGATTGAATTCAAGGATGCTTAACCACTGAGCCACATCCCCGACCCTTTTTTTGATTTTTACCTTGAGATGGAGTCTTATTAAGTTGCTAAGAACCTTGCTAAATTGCTGAGTCTGGCCTCAAACTTATAATCCTTCTGCCTCAGTCTCTTGAGCCACTGGGATTACAGGCATGTGCCACCACGCCCAGGCCAGATCAATTTTTAAAACAAGCATTTTGACCCAACTCTCTCTTTCCTTTGCTCAGTGTAGCAGTTTCTTCTCTCTTCTCACTTTTTATTCTTCAACCATCATGGCCTTCCCCTCACCAATGCAGGGTATGCAGGGTAAAAATTCCTTCGGTTGGGGGCTGGGGTTGTGGCTCAGTGGATGAGCGCTTGCCTCGCATGCGTGAGGCACTTAGTTCGATCCTGAGCACCACATAAAAATAAATAAATAAATAAATAAAGATATTGTGTCTATCTACAGCTAAAAAAAATTTTTAAAAACAACCCTCCTTCCGTGGAGGAAAGACCAGGCAATTGTTGACTCTGACTTTTGCATGGCCTTTGAGTGTCCCTTCCAGCCCTCCCAACCAGCAGAACATGACACACAAGACATA